GATATTAAGAATCGATCCAAGCTATCACTAATTTGTTTTGTTATGTGATATAATTTATATGTTTAGCGACACCACAAATAAGAATAGAAATACAACAATAAATAAAAAAATTTAACGCGAACTATAGTTTCAATTGCTATTTCTAATACACGGTCTTCGAGTTTGTGGCCATGAGATAAGATATATTAATTTTAACATCAACAATTTAAATCATTCATAAGAAAAAATCATACGAACCCTTTTCTTTTATATTTTCGATTGTCTTTTGGATTTCTTCTTCATTCACCTCGAAGGTAACGATAGTAAAAAGGATGGTAAGAATGTTAAAATCATGGATTTTCCAAAAATTCCTATATTCAATTATATAATCCGCCATTGTCGTACCAAACTTTCAAGTTATCGTTATATTCACAAGGCACCGTGCGATCAAAGCCAATTATTTTCTTTATTACTTCACTTGAATTGATTAAAAATTTCAAGTTTCCTTTCATCCAAGTATTTTTTACCCATGTTTGCTACAATAACCTCTCATTAAATAAGAGAATATTTATAACCTGGTATTATTTAATGTATTTCGGTATTATTATGCTTAGAAAAGTATGAAATGAAATGTAAAGAAATTGTATTAAGCACAAGAAATTGTGATTTGAAAATGTAACAGTGGAATAGCAAAGAAGGGAATCGGGGAAAGCCGTAAAAGAACTTGAAAGGAAAAGACGGACTAAATTTTATGATTTGCCAAGTTGCTCGTTTTTCTTTTTGCTGTTTCGTTTATCATAATATGGAGTAGCTCTGTATATTTATTTTTACTCAATACCTCTAAAATCTTATGGAAAAGATAAAAAACCTCTGAACCGTACAAAAAATTAATAGAGTTGTGGCTGGTTTCAAAAATTAGCTGATGAAGTTATTATGAGCAAGGAGCAAACGAACTTTAAAGAAGCATGTGGAGAATTCAAGTCTTTGAGGTTTAGATGAATTGCTTTGCGAAAGTTTTGGAGACGATAAAAAACGTAGACGAAATGAGAAACGAAATTGGAAGGAGCAGAAGAAAAGATTTTTGAATGCTCTAAATGTAATAAGTTATAACTGACCAATAGATATAGGGCAAAAAGTTAGTCTTTTTGTTTGTGATCATGCCAACGGAAGTTTACCGTCCCTCATTGTGAGCTCCCATTTTAAAATAAATTTACATTGATTAGAAAAATAATGTTGACGTGTAACACCTTGATTTGATAGAACAGAGATTTTCGTTAATAACGATAAGCACGAAACTGGCAATCGTTAAAAGTTAAAAATGGTAATTATATGAAAGTTTGTTCCAACCTATTCAATTGTTTAATATCATACTAGATATCAGAATCTTTCCGGGTCCCTGCACCCCAATAATTTGAGCGCTAGTATTATCGGAAGCAATTCTCCCTGATCTCTGTGATTTTTCTTCAAAATTGAAAGACTGGTGATGTTTACGTAGAAAAATTATTTTCAGTTTTCTGTATTAACTTATTCTGTATTCTTTATGTTGCTTATATGTGCCACAGCTTTAACAATCGGGCATACTAACTTGTATAAGCAACCTATGACATTGGCCTTTTTTAGTAATTTTTTTAATTTATCACATGTATTTTATTATATGTAAACATTTATTTGTCACAAACTGCTTATACATTTTCAAAAAATCCCAAAATCTAACTCTAATACACGATGATCCAATAGCGCATATACTTGCCAATGTTCCCACAAATTTGAAAATAATCTCTTAATGTTCTCGAATAAAAGAGGATGTTACTCTCATGAGAACGGATTTACGATCCTATCAAAATTCTTAATCCCAGCAGAAGTACTGGCTGTATATATATAGATCATGTGTAATGTATATACAGACAAACCTCCCTAAATGCACCCCCCTTGGGACCATAGCAAAGCGTGCATTTAGAGAGAGAGAGAGCATTTATAAAGGGCAAAATATATAGAGCTCTTATGAGCTGGGACCCAGCCATACTGTGCATTTAGAGAGGGTGTGCACTTATAGAGGGTGCATTTAGGGAGGTTTATCTGAACCAAAATTTTCCGAGCACAAAGATTACAAATGCTGATCGTTGATACCTTTCATAGATCTATATCGGGTGTTGCCCCAAATTACGTACACACATCTCATTTGAATAAACATACAACCATTCGATTCGCCCAGTCGAGGTGATCCGATTCAAACAAAAATAATACCATTCGATTCGTCTTGACTAGACAATTGAATGGTATTATTTTTATTCAAATTGGGTCACTGGAGATCGAGATTTTACGATGTTGGCGATCAAATATGAATTGGTCCAATTTGAACGAAAATACTATCATCCGATTTTTCTAATCCAGGCAAATCAAATGGTGGTATTTTCGCTCAAATCGGATCACTAGACGTCCTAAAGTGACCAATTCATTGTATTTGGGAAAGTTTATGAACATACAATACGCAATATAGAAGCTCTACCAATCATTTGTAATGCTCTTTGTGTCCGGTACATTATACATAATCTACAGAGTTATGGAGGGTAGGTTACTTCTGACGAGCATAAAATCTGCGGTTAGCAATAAATCAAGTGCCCACGTCTAAAGAGTAGTAATATTGAATATAGCTTCACCAATAATAAGATTTAAAAACTCGTAAAGGAACAATTATATAAACATTTTTCACATCTCGCCAGCCCAATTCCTTGGCTAAAATTTGCTACTATCGACTTGTAATATCTTGGAGAAATTCACAATTGAAAATCAAACGACCTTTAATTTTTTCCGCTCCCTCAATACTGGTGGCAATTACTAACATTAAAGTTTCTGGGAACTTGGATTATTCTGTTAAGTATAAGCATTCAATAATTTTATCCTCATTGGTATCTTCTAACAATTTTATTTAAAAAATAATTTTGCAATTTGCAATTCAAATAAATAAGTCGATTTTGTTTCATAAGTAGGCGTGATTGATACAATTAAACTGATAAATCGGACTTAATAAATATCGATAAACCGAAATTTTCAGATAATTTTTACTAACGTTAATACAATTAGATATTTCCAAATTGGATAAAATTTAATTCAAAAAAATTCACGTTTTAATGAATAATTATTGTCATATTTGAAATATTTATTAATAAGGTAATACATGTATAAAAAAATTGTTTTTTAATATAAATTTGAAACCTTGAATCGAGATATGAATTTATTGATGTATTTTTTCTTTTATATTAAAACAAAGACAAGAATCCCTATTTTAATATTTTTTCTAATTGCAAAGTTAACCAAAAAAATTTTTATAATTAAATATAAGTTCAATTATAAGATTTTTCGAACAACTTTGCAATTAGCAATTAAATAGAGATTCTTATCTTTATTTTAATATGAAAAGCAAAATATTTATTAATAAAATTGAAAATTCTAATTTTAAGAGAAAAACCCGTATTTTACTATTTTATTAGGTTGGTGTACATATCGATATATTTTTTTATACTAATACAAATTTCATAATTTTTATTTATATTTGATTTTCTTAAATTACAATAAACTCATTTATAATTAACATGATATTATAATATAATAACAATATTAATAATACTATAGCAAAAAAAATTTTTTTTTGAAATTATTAATATAATAAAAGATTTTAATATTACTAAAAAAAATGATACCTTTTATATTTTTTTTTGTTTTATATTATTAACTAATTTTCAATAAAATATTTAAAACCAAAATTCAATATGTTAATGAAATTCCATTTTATTTTATAAAAAAAAAATAAAATGCCAAGCAGATCGCAAAAATAATGTTTTAATTATTCGGAAACCAGAAAAATGTAATTGTAATATTTTTGTTGAATTGGTATATTGGTATTTATGTTTTGTAATAAAATTCACTAATAAAATATATAAAAAAAGATAGAAAAGCATATCGGAAAAATTATCAACATTTTCTGGAACATTCATTCTTGATGCTAAATATTTAATCAACAAAAAAATCAAGTCTATTCTATAACAACACACACACATTATAAATACAAAATAACAACAATAATAATTCAAAATAATAAATAATAATAGCAACAAAGGTCCAAAAGTTATTTATGAAGTTCTAACGATGGTTATAAATATTGAACAAGAAATCATTATATCACTATCGATAATGTACTGGACACTCTTTACCCTTGGCGAACCATTTGCTTATACAGTGATGATGATATGAACACAAACAGTTTAGGCGTGTCACGTTTTGCCCTAGTATTGGTGATAGTGTTGGTAAGTTGGTGATATGGTGGAGATTATATCGTTCATATATATATTATATATGTATAGTAGATAAGAGAAAGGAAAAAGCACAACAATAAAAAGGTGATAGATAACCCATAAAAAATATAACGAGGAATTTTAGATGAAACAAAGGATTTTATAAGATTAAAATCGGCAAAGTAATGAAATAATATAACCAATCAAACAATAATATAAATAAAGATAACAAATAAGAATTTTTTCCTCTTCCTCCTTTTTTTGTAGTTTTTTTGATATTGAATAATAAAATAAATAAATAAAAGAAACAAATAAAGTCCCAAATGTTCATACCGGAAAGAAACTCTTCGAAACAGATTGGACATTCTTGGTCAATGATTGGATTGTTTGGGGGGAGTTTGTATACTGCACGTATATTTGTGCATGAGCGAGTGTGAGTTTGATGTAAGGAGACCGAAAGCAGAAGCATCAGCAGTAATTGTATTGAAGGAGATTCATTCATATCGACAAAGTGTTATTACATCGATACGAACAATATCGGAAGGGGTTGGATGGATTAGAAGAAGGGAAGGATGGGGAGGTCGAATTTGGTAATAGCAGAGAATTGGAGTAAGCCATACGTGTGAGTGTGCATTTGGAAGAAGACCCATAATTGATGATAGATAATTCATGTGTTTTAGTAGGACCCGATCGTTTGATTCTTTTTTGGGCCTTTATTCAAATTTGATTGCGTTAAGCACAAAAAGCGGCTTGCTCACCCACATATTTTAAACCGCTGGTATTGATCCCATTCCCATTCTCCAAACACGTCCTAAGATGTTCGTCTGGGCCTTCGGGCACATTAATCAGTTGCACAGAGCAAACCGGGCATTGGCTCATTGTTGAGCTATTACTTGATCGTCGCTGATGATTATGATTATGTGTCAATGAAGCCCCGGAGATAATTGACGCGGTGGTTAAACTGTTAGATCTTTGTCGTCCTGGGAATCCCATAGATTTGTAACATGAATCGCAGACTCGATGTAATTGTGAGGCTTGGCTGGGATTCGAGTCGCTAGCGCTTCCGGATGGATCATATGAAAGTTGTGTGGGAGGTAATTCTACGCGTGCCGTAGAGCATCGATCACATACGACTTGACCGCATTTTCTGAAAAATGGGGGTTTTTAATTGTATTTTTGATATGAATTACAAAGATAGGTTGAACCATTTATAATAGTAAAGGAGTCACAAACCTGCAGTGATGCCTTCTAATCCACAGTCCAAATTTCCTATTGCATCGACGACAATCATGAACATCCCCATCATGTTCCCAGGTAGATGTTGAAGTCGCGGACGCGTTTAATTTACTACTAATACCTGCCACAATTCCTGTTGGTTGTAATAACGTTGACCCCGAGAAGCTTGATGGATTATGTGCATCCACATTTGGACTTGATGTATTCCATGAAGGATCATCAACAGTCTGAAAACTGCTAAGACTTGTAGTTGAATCTACGCGATTCAATCGATTTGCAATGCCACTAGTTGATTTACTCAGTGAAGGAAATGAATTAAATGTGTGACTATTAGTTGATAAATCTTTTGATGTTGGGCTCGCATCTCGATTATCTGTAATTAAGTTTTCAAGATATTCTGCGTGTGTGAGGATTGTAGTCGCTAGTGAACTGGCTTCTTGCCTACGCTGTTGATTCGGGTCAGCTATGAACAAAATTTGATGATATAAATGAATAGCAGTATAAAATTCAAACAAAATAGAAAGGAGCAAATATAATTAATTACACTTTATGCCTTTGAGCAAAATGCCAATTGCTTCTTGATGCCGAGCTAATTCATCTTGAACAGAAAGACCACTAACAGCTTTGCCTTTGCCATTTCCTTTATTCAATGCATCTTCTGCTATCTTTATGTAATCAATGGAATCTTTAGGACTTTCATAGTCTTTAATTGGCTGAAGTAGGGAAGGATGGAAACTAGGCTCCATAGAATCAAGTCTACGTTTCATTACACGAACCCATCTTCGTCGTCTCACCCAACCACTACCGCTGGTGGGTGGTGCCGCAACCCACATTTGCTCCAAGTCATCGAAACTTCGCGCATATTGCCAACCTTGCGAATCGACACGCGGATGTGAGAAATCAATCTGCCAATCTGAATACCAAAACCATAATCTTTGGTGCTTTGACGAGGTTGAATTTGATATAACTGAAGCTGCCGATGAAATATAACTCATTGGTAATTGGATCTCTTCTTTCGTTGTTGGTATGCCACTAGGCTCAGACCAAGGTCCTCGCGAGTCACCCTTAACTAGAGGAGAATATTTTGCAGGTCCACGAAGAATGGGAAATGCATTAGATGCACGTTGATTTTCGTGAAGTACCACGGGGATAGAGATGTGGAATGCGAGAACATCGTATGGTTGGTTCATTGCTGGAGTGGACATAAGCTCTCCAAAGGAAGTGGCTGATTACAAAAGAAACAAGCGAAATAAGAATATTTTCAGGAGAAAATAGTAGTCTATATATAAAAATATAAAACATACGGCCTGGTATATGACGTTTTTTCCTCCACCAATCACGTTCGGCTCTTTCAAGTATTTCACAAACATAAACTTCGTGACTAATAGCTGCCACATCATATGCAGCTTCTCCAAAATTATTTTTGATGAGCGGGTTGGCCTTACAAGCTAATAAGTATTCTACTATGTCAAGATGACCTTTTGATGCGGCATTCACTAATAATCATCACCACCATTATAATGATAGATTTCAATAATAGAAAATCGATTAAGTTTCGATCACAAATATTTTTGTAGAATAAAATAAAAAAATAACGAACATACTTAATGGTGTATGTCCTTTTGAACTTTTTGCATCTAAATCTGCGCCGCCGTGTTCATAAAGATATTTTACGATTTTTATATGACCTTGTGATGAAGCGTTATGAAGTGCTGTCCATCCGTCATTGTCGACTTGATCGACTTTTGCTTTTCTTTGAAGAAGAAATGCGACTACATGTGTATGGCCAATATAAGAAGCCTTTAATAGAGCAGTCTATAATAATAACAATAATAAAAATGAAATCGAAGTCCAAATAACATAGAAAATAATTAATTAATTCACATAAAAAACCAAAGCACATACCTCTCCCGTAGGGTCTTCCATATCAATTATCGCCCCTGCCGTATCAATCAAATACCTTACAATCTCCAAATGCCCTCTTGAAGCAGCATAGTGCAGCGGCGTCAACCCAGATGACTGGTTCGCCTCATTAGCAATCAAAAAAGAATGCGAGGTTTCTGCGACACCTTGTGGATCTAACAGCTCTTGTACTCGCGCCAGATTACCAGTGGAAGTTGCGTCATATATAGTCCGGTCTGCGCCATTTGAGAGGTCCTCTTTAGACTGTCGTTGTTGGCTGTGGTAATTTGGCGTCGAGGAGGTCGACGGAAGTTTTACTTGTTTTACGTGAATGTTTCCATAATATCGGTGGCTTTCACCTGGTACTGGTGGATGAACAGCATCGGGAATACGTAATGCTGGCTGTGGTAGCATTGAAGAAACCATTTTGCTAATTTAATGTATGCAAATGAATGTTCGCAAAAATCCACCGTAGATATGTTACACACACTAGTGTCCAATAACACCAAATAAGTCAATTTCATTGATATGGGACCCAGAACAGTTTGGATCACAAAGAGACCTGTTAATCCAATTCAGATCGGGAATTTTAAATCAAAGATTTGATATTTTGTTAACGTTAAGGAATAACTCGATAAATACCATGGACGCGTTCAACAACACGAGTAAAGGGGAAAAAAGTGAATCTTTATCAAATGGAGAGAGTCAGTTTCCGACAGAGGTTGCTGCTACCGGGACTAGTACTACTGCCAGCACTCGATTTCGACCAATACCTCGAGGTAAACTTTATCATGTATCATTTAACATTACTATTACTTATAGAATAAAAACCATATTATTAACATTAAACCTTTGGTTATCTTGACTTGGGAAAAAGACCCACAAAATATACGCAAAGCAACTCGAGTCATTGACGCAGAATTCGATCTCGAGATACTGTTACGACAACAAGAATTACATCAAATACAAGTAGAACTCGAAAAAGCCGAAGTTACGCTCGAAACCTTGAAGAATTGCTTGATTGAAGGTGAGCTTGATTCTTTAAATAATGAATGAATCAATGACATATTTAGGTATGAGAAGTGTTTACTTTTTATTTTGTTATAAAGTGTATATCTTTATAGTGTTTATGGGTAATTCGTGGTTGAACAACAAAATAATATTTGTCGAGTTTTTCGTTATTAAAAGAGTTATATTGGCAATAATGCAAATAAGCAAACGACCCTTATTCTTTTTATTCTTATTAGTATTGTTACGTAAAAAATATAAAGTGATGATGCCTAATGAATAAATAAAAGTAAAAAATGGTCAAACATTTATAACTCAATCTTCTTCAGCCGGAAATTCCCAAGTTGACTTTTCGCATGACTCTCAGCAACATCAGCGAGGCGGTGATGTTAATGGTACCGCAAACATCAACAATATCCCTTCAATAATGCCTACGCGGCAATCAACACGCAAGGTTGTATCGACACGCGATAAAGATTACCTGTATTTTGATCCTTGTAGAGATTTGTTCTCGAGAAGAAATGACGGTACATTTGTAAAGTGAGTGAACTGTTTTTTTTAGTTATGTGCATATTTAGATGCTATTTGGGTTTGAATTAATTTTTTCAATTTTTGGCTCATCAATTTGCACACATAATTATACAAAAATTAGATTAACTTGTCCGGAATGTCATCGATCGAGATTTATCAATGTGCAAGGGTTCCTTAACCATTGCCGTCTTTCGCACAAGATTGAATTTCCGAATCACGAAGAAGCACTTTTATTATGTGGTACACCAGTGGTAAATTAAAAAAATTCATTCTATTGAAAAAACGAAAAGATGTCTTTCGATTTTTATCGCGTCTTTTTTTTTAAAAAAAAGGACGAAAGCATCGTGCCTCCTGATCATCCGGCTAGATCCCGAATTATTACGAGACCGCCGTCACTTCGATCAATACTAGATCAAAGTGAAAGAACGCAACAGTTGCCTAGGTAGAAAAACAAAATTTATATATGATTAAATATCTATTTTTTGTTTAAATGAAATTTCTAATTTGAATCGATATTGATTTTTGTAGGGTAAGATTCTTTATAAATTACCGATTATCAAGCTTTTGACTATTTGTATTTTTTTTGGAATCGAGTTAGTCAGATTTTCATTATTGAATAGCCCAAAATAAAAGAATACGACGAAAATATCGATGACATTGAATTAGAGTCGGAAGATATAAGAGGAGAAAGGGGAAGTGATGGACAAGTTGGCGACGGCTCTATTTCAGGCTCACGAGTACCGAACCAAACTCTATCTGAACAACCAAACAATAATAATAAAAATAATAATGGTAGTGGCAGTGGTATAGATAGCGAACCCACATTTTCTTCTATATCATTACTATCTAAGGAAGCGAGTCCAACTTCACCAGCTTTAGCTGTATCTGCAGAAATTCATGCAACCGGAGAAGATTCTTTTGAAAGTGACTCCGACGGAGAAAGTATAGATATTTCTGCAGAAATAAGCCAATTCAATAAATACAAAGAAGGTCACACAATTAGTATTAAAGAAAAGAGGATTGGTGCTATTGAAGACGCGTCATCGTCATCGTCACCATCACCAAAAGAAATTAATCTTCAGAAGAAACAAGATATTTCGCACAAAACTTCTCATTCGGGCCTGTTACTAAATGTTTATCAAAATCAGACATTTAATATTAACCACAATAGTAATAATACACATAATAATAGTTTAAGTGCAATGGAAGCTGACAATGCTGCGCGTAATAACGAAAAAGAGGACAATAATCTTTATAATTCTAATTTGAATAAGAAAAACAAATATTTGGGCATAGTAGATATAGAACCAGAAGAATCGGGATTAGTTGGAGAAATTATATCACTGACAGGCAAGCAACCTTCAAGCAATAACCATAACTCCTCTATTACTTCGAAAACAAATGGCAATCATCATTTGTTCACAGAAAAAACTACTACTCATACCCAAGAAATCACCACAATTTCCGCTGTTGCATTCACCACTCCTTCCTGTGGTAGTGTTTTCGATCCGATTGACGCTGGGTCACGCTTCTACGTCAAACGGCGCATAGTAATCGGAAACGTGTCGAAATGGATTCCGCCTGAAAAGCGGGAACCAAAGCTCGAGAAATACACGCATAAATGGATGGTGTATGTTGTCGGACCGCCGCATTCGTTGAATGTTACGTCTTTTATACGTAAAGTGCGGTTCTATTTGCATCCTAGTTATCGACCTAATGATATTGTGGATTTGAAGGAAGCGCCGTTTCAGATTACGAGGTTTGGGTGGGGTGAGTTTCCGGTGAGAGTACAATTGTTTTTTGTTGATAAGAAAAACAAGCCGGTGGATGTAATACATCTGTTAAAAGTATGATATTTTTATTATGCATGTCTCTTGTATTTCATGTTATGATTGGTTTAATTAATTATGCCAAATTTCTTTATCCAGCTCGATGAAACACACTCCAGTAAACAGAGATTAGGAGATGAACGTGCTTATGATCTTGAGCTTGACAGAAATACCGAATTTATGGCGCCACGCGAAGAAAAAACGGAAACAAATTTAACTAATGGCACAAAAATCAACACGCATCCCGATGGTTTAACAAAAAATCCGAATGGCGCACATCTTAATAGTAGTAGTACAACGACTTCTAGTGATATTTCTGATTCATTGGAATCATTGTTAAATGAAGTAGTTCACTCTTATCCGATTATTCGGCCCAATTCTGAGAGTTCTAGGAATGATTCTCTTCCCTATACTACTGCTCCTTCAACTGAGATATTTCTCGCATGGGAATTGAGCCTTCGAGCATCAATAGAATGGCAGAGAGCAAGAGCGATGCGAATAATGGTTCAATCTATATCGCAATCGATGGCCGATGAAAAAATACAAGAGGCTGCTGCTTCATTGACAACGAAACTAGTAGTTTTATGGTGTCGAAAGAAAAAACTTACGCCAATATTGCCTGATGAAAGTGATTCCACATTCGATGCCTTTGACAAATCTCTAGAGTCGTTAGAGTCTCCAATAGCAGCTCAACAATTAGTCACATCTCCCGAGTCATTCTTGTTTTCCTCGTCCTCTTTAACAGTTCCTACGATATATTGTAAATATTGTGGATGTCCCAATTCGTGGCATGAAACCGAGTTTACGGAGGATGGGTTGTCTTCTCTTGTAAAAATTAAATGTAAAAGACTGCCGCGTGCGCTTCGTAAATCCGGGAAGCTGTGCGGTTTAACGTTGGCCAGTGAATCTATTGAAGAATTAGGCAAGGATTCCTATCAAGGTAAGTTTTTAATCTTGGACTGAAGATTTGTTTCTTATTAATTTTTTTATTTTTATTTGTTAATAGAAGAGGAAAATATGGAGATGGATATTGATATTGGCAATTTTGATGATAAGGGAGTGGTGAAAAATATTTTCAATCCAAATACATTGTCTCCAGAAGATGAAGAATCCAATAAATGGCTCACAATAAATAGCATGCTGGATCCTCATGGGATTGACTGGGTATGGGATGTAGTCGCAGAACTCGAAATGAAAAGCGTCGTAGCTACAAATATATCCACATTGGATGACAACACTATTTCTATGAAAGATGATTCAATTGTCGCGGTTGAACAACGATTGATGACTGGAAATTTATTATTTCAGGTGAGATTTTTGTTTCATTGCAGATTAATATAAAGTTATTCGTTTATTCTTTTTATTAACTTTCTATATAATGTAATTAATTTATAGTTAACGAAGATATTCTTAACAGACATTCTGAATAAATCTGTAGAAATTTACAGAGACGAAGAAAATGATTCAATCTCCACAACTCATAGCAAGAATTATTCTCATATATCCATAAAAAAAGAGGAGGGGGAACGTGACTCATCATGGCAAGAACATTCCAACAACATGGATATTGACGAATCTTCAGCTCCGATGATAGAAGAATCAAAAAAACACGTTTCATCATCACCATCACTTCATCCTTCTTTACCCCCACATCCGACTAAACTTTTGGTCCCATATCATATTTATCAAGCCATAGAAAGTAACCCCAAAACAGACTTTTTGACAGGAAAATACTTAGCATCGGTGAATTCTAGTAAAACACACCGATCGAAAAAAGCAGAATCCTCAAAAAAAGAAAAGAAATAAATCTAACTAATTTAAATGTTAACGTTAATGTTAAATGATGGCGAAACAAAGTACGACCGGTTTGATCGTAGTTCTTTTTTTAGTTAGGCTCACGGAAAATTTTGGATGAGAAAAGTTTTATGGTGCGTTTCTACCTACCTGGCTTTAGTGTTTTCCCAAAAAAGAACATTACAATTTTGTTATCTTTAATTAACGTTAACAACCAAAAATACAAAAGCCATTATCTTGAATTGCAGTTCTTTAATAATTCGTGATTCGCGAGTAATGGTAATAAATTCAGAGGTAAAGTTAATCCGGAACCAATTCTTGAATAACGATAATAGCTAAATATGAATATTATCACTTTCTTTGGCCGTATTCGTCAACGCGAAGCGGCGACGGTTTTGTGTTTGGCAGCAGTGTTTTCTTCTGGTCTAATTATGACCAGGTAGGTTCCATTTTGGAGTGTAGTTCACGTTAGAAGTTTCTGGTTGTTCCCTCGGGAAGAGTACTGTGATTCACCAGTTTTCTAATTCCGACTTTCCTTTATATATTTCGCCGTTTCTCCGGTATTCCTGTTATCAATGCGAATTTAACTAATTCGCACTGTTTTCAGTTTGATTATTTTACAGTGGTTCAATCAGCAGGTTTGTTGGGAACTAAACTGTCATTATTGTGGAATACTAGTCGTTAATTCCGACCTTTTGCTGTCATTCGTAGATTCTTTCAACTTGTAGTGAATTTGGCTGTTTATTCTGTAGTTTCCGATTCTTGACGACGACAGCATTCTCTTTGCTCCGTCGTTGTTATTATTGTTGCCAGAGGGGAACGGTTACCTTCAGTGAGTCTGTTGTTTCTCTGTCTAGTAAATGCAGTTCCGTTTGGCTTTTTGTTGAGTGTTCAGCGTACAATTCATTCCAGTAATCGATGATGTTTTGTAAATTTTTTGGTGCATGCTAAATTTTGTTGTAATTCTGATGTCCCGTGATGAGTTTGTTACTATTCTCGACTTCCTACTATCTTCTTTTTTTATAGACTTCTTCACTAGTCGATTGAAAAAATCCGTTTTTATTTTCTTTTTTTGTACACCTTTATTTATTTTTTCGAATATATATATATATTAGATAAAAAAAATTTTTTTAAGAATAAAAAAAATAATGATTCAAGTTTTTTGAAATCTATCGAAGATGTATAATGCTATTGTAAATGCTGAGTCCTTCGTAATTTGGTAAATGAAGTTAATTTGCTGGTTATGTCCTTTTATTTGATTTGACCAAATTGCACTATTATAAATTATGAATTGAATACTGTAAATGTATTTGTAACAATTAGGATCTGAGTTAGGGTTAAGATTAAGATTCTGGATATGTGATTGATTAAAAAGAAAGCAACATTTACCCATGAAAATGTATAATATTTTATCTGAGAAAATCGGTCTTAGCCCTATTACACTTGCCATTTTTTACCAACACCAGAAATTCCACAATGTATTTTATTAGATAAAATCAAGTTTTGAATTGAGAAAGAAAATCAGAAAAAAGATAATTCCATTATTATTAGTGGTAAAAATAACTTTTTAGATAGCAATAATAATAATGACAATAATAATAATAATAATACTTCTTTTTGCATTTCTTCCCTGTCAATTTCTAGACTGGGCAGAGCCACAGCGAAAAATTCTTTTTATACAACAAAGTCATCACTAAAAATATAAAACACATTAATAAAAAATCTTTACTTATTTCATACTTTTCCTTTTTATTATTATTATAATTTTATAATTTCTTTTCTTTTTTTTCTTCTCAAATTCTACAAAAAATAAAAATATTAAAAAATTTCAAAAAACAAACAAAAAATATATTGTTGTGATTAGATATTTTCATAATCACAAACAATCATCTCACATGATCGCTTCAAATGATCGCTTCACATGATCATCTCACATGATTGCTTCACATGGTCACTCCGAATGATCATTCCAAATGATCATTCCAACCGATCATCTCAAGCGCTCCGAATGATCATT